GCTGACCTTTGAGTCCCCCAGAGCAGGAGACTCAAGGGTCACACTAAGCTGCCTACATGGGGCACGGATGTGGGAAGAGATCTCAGGTCCATGGCAGCTGCCAAGCCTCCTCACCCCTAGGCTACTTGACAGCCGTGCCGAAGTCTAAGCCCTGGGGAGTGTTGGTCTTTGCTAGAGAGAAGACGAGAGCCCCCATCCATTTCTAGACTGCCATTAGCCATCTTCTCCCACCACATTCTAGAGTCTAGAACACCAAGCAGCTGAGGGCTGTGTTCTTCCCCTTCCTGTCTTGCCCCACCTTTGCTCTTCCTCCCTCCACCGTCACACCTGCCCTTGCCTCACACTCCCTTCTGCATCTAAGATGATTCCTTCACCCACCTTCCAATTACACCATTTTCACTGATTTTTGGGCTTCCTCTGCCCTCCACTCACGTCTCATCCTGTCCACCCTCACTACTGTCTCTTACCGCAACAATCAGCCTCTTTACCAGTCTCCTTCATTCCCTGCTCTCCACTCTAGCCCAGCTTTTCCCTCCCGGAGGAGACCCCTTTATTACTACCAGATACCCCAGGTTACACCTGTTCTTCCTCCTCCATCTTCTTTCTCTCCTTCCTGCCACAGGCCCAGAAACCGGGAGACCCCATCCTAGAAGCTTGTGTTTTTGTCCTCTAACTCTGGGAGTATAGTTTCTCCATTTGAACATTGTACTTTTACATTAATTTTTTAAAAAAATTTTTATTAGTGAAACAGGGCTGGAGTGATAGTATAGCAGTAGGGCGTTTGCCTTGCGCACAGCCAGCCCGGCCAAGCCAGGTTCGATTCCTCTGCCCCTCTCAGAGAGCCTGGCAAGCTACCGAGAGTATTCAATATGCCAAAAACAGTAACAAGAAGTCTCACAATGGAGACGTTACTGGGCCTGCTCGAGCAAATTGATGAACAATGAGAGGACTCTATTAGTGAAACACCATGAGGTACAGTTGTAGACTTACAAGTTTTTGTGCTTCAGTTTCAGTTATATAATGATCGAGTACCCATTCCTCCACCAGTGCCCATTCTCCAGCACCAATGATCCCAGTATCCCTCCCACCTCCCACCCCACCCCCATCCCACCCTGCCTCTGTGGCAGAGCATTCCCTTTTGTTCTCTCTCTCTCCTTTTGGGTGCTGTGGTTTGCAAAAGAGGCACTGAGTGGCAATCATGTTTGGTCTATAGTCTAATTTCAGCATGCTTCTCATCCTGGGAGGATCCTCCCAACACCTTTTACATGGTGCTCCCTTCTCTATTTGAGCTGCCTTTTTCCCTAGCAGGTGCAGCTGGCCTCCAAGCCATGGAGTGAAACTTTTGGTACTTAACTTGGCTATTCTTGGGTGTTAGTCTCCTATTTTGTTACTTTATATTCCCCAGATGAATGCAATCTTTCTATGTCTGTCCCTCTTTTTCTGACTTATTATCACTTAGCATGATACTTTCCAAGTGCTTTTACATTCATTTTAATTTTACAAATACTCTTTGTTTCTTCTGTCAAATGCTGAAAAGTTGTACTTTTCTTTTTTCAAATTTTAGTAAATGACCAGTAGGTAGAGTTAATAAAAGTAATAGGTTTTTCAGAAACATCACATTTCTCACGGTCAACCTGAAAACAGTCACATGAGATTCAAGGTTAAGGACTAATATGGTCTGCAGAGGGACCCCATCTGGATCAATCATGCAGCAGTTGTTTTGGGATGAATTCCACAGTCATGTGATGTAGTTGAAGACATTGGTGTTAAGAGAAAAGGGACACTCATAAGGCTGACTTTGTCCTACAAACTCCACAAAGACAGGCCACTATGACTGACTTGTCTAGACAACACAGAATGAAGTTCTGTTATCACCATTGGCTGTTAGGCTTATTTGAAACTTGATCCCCACTTTACAACCTGAAACAGTCCAGAGAAATGAAATGATTTTTCTAAGAGAGACTGATTCCAGGCGGCTGGGGGAGGAGGTACTTTGCCCACTAGGCCTCACCTTGCATGTCTGACAAATAAAGGGGGGGCTTTGTGAGAAGACAGCACCAGGAAATCAGTACTTGAAATAAAGGTGATTTGACCTTGTCTATTTTAAAGTGCTTCATGAACACTGGCAACCATTCATGATAGAGGCATCTTTAACACCCCCCCCCCTACCTTTCTGGAATGTTCTACATATAGAGTTATCCAGAAGAAAACTGGAGCTGTTCCTTTAATTCTCACTATACAATTTTCAAGGAATGTTTTAGTATTCCATTTGATCCCTTTTCCCCCTTTTTCCTTTTTCTTTTTCTCTAGTTCTGAAGGATAAGTGTAGTCATAAATATGCAGCCTACAGAAAGCTGACTTTTCCTATAACTAATAAAAGCCTTGGGGAGTAATTGGAATAACTTGGCGCAGGGTTGGGTTACAGGCTGCATAATATCAAAAGAAAATCCACAGTGAAGAAATGAAACAGCAAATAGGATGAGGGGTTAGAGAATAAAATCAGGACATTAAATAATGAGTAACTATTAAAGGCTAAAAAAAATCCTTTTAGAATTGCATCCTTAGAAAAATAGTGAAGAAGCATCCTCAGAAAACTTACTTGAGACAAGGTGTGCATTTTATGCGTTTCTAAGAAGTGCAATGTGAAAGAAAAATAGGGAAACAATCCCTCCCCCACTCCTGGCATCTGCTCATTAGACAAAAGACTGACAGAGCCTCAGGTTTGATCAGATTTGACGTGCGCTTCCCCTGATTAGTGAACCTCCTCTCCTCCCATCTTCTTTTCATCTCCAGAATCTGAGCTTTAGAGGCATGATGGATACACAAAAGGGAAAAAGCATCTACTATAAATCAGCCTGATTTTCTTTTCAAACAATTTTACGAAAGATTAGTGCATTCAATGTAGGTAGAAAGTGCTGTTGATCTGAAGCCTCTGGGTCCTGTGAGAGTCAGATGCTGCTTTGGGCAGAGGGAGCTTGGCTGCTGGGCGCCTTGGGCAGATGCAGTGGCTTCCTCCCTCCCAGTCCTCGGTACTCCTGGGGGTGATGAAAGCTTTCTGAAGGGTGTTTTACTTGGTGTTTTTCTCTTTCTTTCTTTCTTTCTTTCTTTCTTTCTTTCTTTCTTTCTTTCTTTCTTTCTTTCTTTCTTTCCTTCCTTCCTTCTTTCTTTCTTCCTTTTTAAAGGAGGAAAGCAATCACCTATAATTTGTCACGCATAATGATTTTATTCTGCCAAGCTTCCCCTGCCTCTGTTTATATTTTGTTTTAAAGATACTAGAAACCAGTCAATATTATTCACTTATTTCCTGAATTTTCTTGTGGTACTGGTTTGTCTTATTAAACAAAATAAAGGAGCTTTATTTTTTCAAAGGACCACACCCAACAAAGTTTGGGGCCAGGGCCATAACCTGCAATGCTTAATCCAGAAATGTGGTGTTTTTTGGGCTAGATGGTGCAGGGGGTGGTGTGGGGTCAGGAAGGTTGGCGATGGGAAGGTGGTCCAAGGGACGGAACTCAGAACCTCACATATCTCACATATGCTGGGCATGTTCTCTGCCTCTTGAGGTATCTCACTAGTCTCCAAGTTAAAGGATTTTTAGCTGTCATTTTCTAGAATACCTTTTGCACAGCACAGATGTTACACTATATATATATATATTTTTTTTCTCACAGGATAGAGAAAGTGCAGTAAGCTGTGTACCTTGTAGCTACTATGATTTGCAACCAGATTGGTTGAGTTCCTATGCAGAGGTGAAGCAAATCTTTCAGAGATATTCCCATTCAGAGGTCAGTAATTGTATGGGATTCATGTGTGTCTGTCTGAGCTGGAGCGATAGCACAGCGGGTAGGACATTTGCCTTGCAGGGGCTGACCTGGTCGACCTGAGTTCGATTCCTCCGCCCCTCTTGGAGAGCCAGGCAAACTATCAAGAGTATCTAGCCCGAACAGCAAAGCGTGGCAAGATACCTGTGACGAGTTCATATGTCAAACATAGTAACAACACATTTCACAATGTTACTGGGCCCGCTTGAGCAAATTGATGAACAACAGGAGGACAGTGACAGTGACATGTGTGTCTGAGTGAGATCAGTGTTGTCTAAATTCCTATGCAGATAGTATTCGCAGAGTTAGAACTCTGCTCTTGATCTTTCTATGTCTTTGTTTTCTCAGCTGTAACACTGGATATTGTTACAATGCCTCAGTTCTAAGAAACACTTTATGCACTTAATATTGGGTTGAGTGATGTAATTAACATGTACATTATAATTTTTCCTTCATTTTCCCTCACTCACTCTTCAGAGTTACAGCAATCAGTAGTTTCCTGGAATTAAAAAAAATAGTAATAATAGTTGCCTTGTTTTTATTGCTAGGATTAGCTATGATATTTTGCAAAAACTTATTAAAATTTGATAGGATATCAATAAATAACAGCTATTGCTTTATTAATTATAAACCTCTAACTCAGAAATGTGGGCAGCTTGGCACCACAGGTGAGTGAGTGAATGTGCAATGACCTTGACAATGCTTAGCCCTTGTCCCCCCAAAAAAGCCCTCCAACTGAAATCTTTTAACGTCACTGCTCATCTTCTCCTGAAATTCTTTTCTGAAAGAAAGGCAAGAGCTGGAGAGGCCTGGGTAAGGTCTAGATTGATTTTCTTTTCCTGCAAGGAGCTATGCCCACAGCAGATTCTTATCAGTCCTAGATTTTCCTAGTTGTTCCTGGGGTGGCAGCGGTGGAAAGACAGATACCGCCTCTCTCCTGCCACTTCACAGAAGTCACTTGGGATCCCCCTGGCATAGTACTTGCTCTTGTTCTCTGCCATGTATGAAAGACTTTGAGTGCAAGGCTTCTCTCTCAGAAAGGGTAAAGGTGTTGGGATTGGAGAACGTTCATTTCATTCCATGATCCTTGTTATGTAACTATTAGCTTTTGTGGTTCTTGTGAAATAAAATAGATGAGGAGAGGCATGTTGATGAAAGTGCAAGTGGAAAGCTACATACCATTTCTTGCAATATTCTGGTAATCCCTGTGATTGCAGCGGTTTCTTTCCCTTAAGCGTAGATAGATAGACTTTTCTTTAATTCTGAAATAAGAAATAAATATATACTTATACTTAATGTCATGCACGATACAGTAAAAGAAACATGATAAAGTATAAAGAGACATTTTATTTTAATTTTTTAAATGTAATGAATAATAGCTTAGAAAATCAGATCTCTGTAGATATTCTTTCTTTAACAGTCAATGTCATTATGCAAGGACTGGAGCAATAGCACAGCGGGTAGGGCATTTTTCTTGCACACGACCGACCTGGCCAACTGGAGTTCGATTTGTCCGCCCCTCTCGGAGAGCCCAGCAAGCTACCAAGAGAATCTTGCCCGCAAGCCAAAGCCTGGCAAGCTACCCCTGATGTATTCAATATGCCAAACACAGCCACAAGTCTCACAATGCAGACATTTCTGGGGCCACTCGAGCAAATTGATGAACAACAGGGGGGACAGTGCTACAGTGCTAGACATTATGCAATTCTTATAAGAAAACTCTCCTATTATATATATATATATATATTTATATATATATAAATATATATATATATTTGTTTATAGTGTATAACTATAAACATTTATATATATATTTATATATATATATATAAATTTATATATATATATATATTTATATATATATATATTTATATATTTATATATAATGTTATATATATATATGTATATATAAATGTTATATATATATATTTATATATATATATATAACATTTATATATATATTTATATATATATTTATATATATATATTTTTATATATATTTATTTATATATATATTATTTATTATTTATATATATATATTTATATATATATATAAATATATATATATATTTGTTTATAGTGTATAACTATAACTATATTTATATATATATATAAATATATATATATATTTGTTTATAGTGTATAACTATAAACAAAATTGTTTCTTTTATCAGTATGGTAGGATCTGGGCTGGAGACATAGTACAGCAGTTAAAAGACTTGTCTTGCATACAACTGACCCTGGTTTGATCCTTGGCGTTACCAGGTGTGACCCCTGAACACAGAGCAAGGAGTAGCTCTTAAACACAGTCCAGTGTGACCCAACTTTTCCTCCAGCAAAGGTAAGATCATAATATTCTGTGTGTGTGTGTGTGTGTGTGTGTGTGAAGACCTCCAAAATAATCCCTTTCTAGTCTTTTAACAGAGATTTTCTGTCTCTTGAGCAACTTGTTCTCTGCTGATTTTGTTATTTTGAATCTGACTTTGTTCCTTTTCTTCTTTGTGTTGCCATGAAGAAGTAGCAGTCTACTCTTCAAATCCATTTGTCCCTTTTGTCCATTGTCAGTAAAAGTTTTGGTAGGACTCATGACTTTCCAGAATGATGATGGCATCACCTCCAACCTCTCCTGGGCTGTCACTGAACCAAGTTTCAGATAATGAAATGACTGTAAAATTTCCAATGGCAATTTCTGGGAGTGTTTCTTAGAAAACCGCTGAAAACCATCTTAATAAACATTGTTATTTTCAGGCTTTGCTCAGTATTCTTTTTGAATCTGAGAAAACTGATAGGATTTCTTAATGTAATAACAAATCGTCTGCATAATCTCTTAAGGATGGGATTTTTGCTTTATGGTTGAGTTTTGAAATGATTTTTTCCCCTTCTTTCCTTCCTTTTTGTTGTGGGGCTATATTAGGTGCTCAGGGATTACTCGTGGCTATGTGCTCAGGGCTCACTTCTGGCAGTGCCTGGGGTACCAGAAGCAGAGCCTGGATCAGCTGTGTGCAAGGCTAGTGCCCTTCCCATTGTACTGGCTTGATGACACCCTCTCTTTTTCCTTAAAGCAAATATACTCTAGACACAACTAGACTAAAGATGACAGAAACAGTAATCTTGCTCCCTAACATTCTAATTATTTTTAGGAAAAGGGAGTTCTGGTGTTTCTAAATTGCTATATAACGATACTTCTAATGGATTTCTGTCATAGGCAATTGTTTTGTTAAATAGGAGGAATCCTGAAATGATGAATCAAAATCTTGCTAAGCAACAAATAGGAAGGAAGAAATGAATCTCAAAAGCCATCAGAGTTTACATCTCATTGACTGATGTGGCAGATTAAAGATGACTCTCAAGATGAATTCATTATATTTTACATAACTTTAGCTCTTGCCTAGGCTACAATATCTTTTCTTTGTTTGTTATGGGATATACCTGGCAGTGCTCGGGATTTACTTCTGGCTCAGCACTCAGGGATCACTTCTGTGGGGCTCAGAGAACCATATGTGGTGCCAGGAATTGAACCCACTTCAGGTGCTTGCATGACAAGTGCCCTACCCTGAGGTATTATTGCTCCAGCTCAAGACTGCGCTTACTTTGAGCAATAGAATATGGTGGAAGAGACTCTGTCACTTCTGGTCTGGTTTTAAGAAGCCTAACAACTTTACATTCTGGGAGCTCTGATTTATCAAATATGAAATTTAACCTCCCTCCTGGACACATCAAAAGGCTATACAATGGAAGAAACCAAAATGTTCTTCTAAAGGTGAATGGAAAACAAACCACTTATGCAGTGTAATGTTATTCAGGAACAAAGGGAAATGAACAATTAAAACAGAAAAAGACACAGAGAAAACCTTAGTGTATATGGTCAAAGGGAGGAAGTCAATTTGAAAACTATTTACCATGTGACCATACTATGTTAATATTCTGGAAAAGGCAAGATCATGGTTATAGTAAAAAGATCTATGGTTGTCAGAAATTTGGGTTGTTTAAATAGTAAGCTCAGGGTCTTCTTGCATAGTGAAACTGATCTGTTTAATACGACAGTGGCAGATACTTGTAATGTACTTATTAAAACCCATAGAATGGATAACAGAGTGAACACTAATACAAACTATGGATGTAATTTTTTTTATTAGTGAAACACCATGAGGTACAGTTATAGACTTACAATTTTTTTCATTTTATTTATTTATTTAAATTTTTAATAGTGAGACATCATGAGGTACAGTTGCAGACTTACACATTTTTGTGCTTGGGTTTCAGTTATACAATGATCAAGTACCCATCCCTCCACCATTGCCCATCCTCCACCACCACGGGTCCCAGTATCCCTCCCACCCCCATCCCCCCATCCCCCCTGCCTCTGTGGCAGGACATTCCCTTTTGTTCTCTCTCTCTCTCTCTCTCTCTCTCTCTCTCTCTCTCTCTCTCTCTCTCCTTTTGAGTCCTGTGGTTTGCAAGAGAGGCATTGAGTGGCAATCATGTTTGGTCTATAGTCTACTTTCAGCATGCTTCTCCCACCCTGGGAGGATCCTCCCAACACCCTTTATTTGGTGCTCTCTTCTCTATCTGAGCTTCCTTTCCCCCTAGCACGTGTGGCTGGCTTCCAAGTCATGAAGCAAAATTATGGATTTAATTTTTAAGAATATTCTATCAAGAAAGTTATGATCATTTAGAAAAAACTATATATTTTATTTAAGATTATTGTGTCAAAACATGTAGTTGGGACAACTTAGAAATAAATAGAGAAAATTAATAATCAGGGTCAAAATGAAAGGACTGAAGTTATAGCAGGCACTACAGAAATACATGCAATTGCAATGAAGAACTTTATACCACCAAGTTAGAAAATTAAGAGAAATTGATAAATGCTTTTAGCCATACAACTGTAGAAGAGTGATGGACAGATGAACAGATCAATTTACAAGCAAAGAGAATGAAATAGTAATAGAAATCTTTCTTGAGACAAAAATTCAGGATTAGAGTTCTACTAAGCTTTAAAACATGACCTATTACCTGTTTTTCTCAAGGTATTTCAAAAAATTTAAGAAAGGAAATTGTTTTCACTCTTTAAAAGACAAAAATTTGGTGGATTTGGTGGTGCCAAAAGCAGAGACATTACAAAAAGAGGACTACAGGGTTAGAGAGATAGCTCAAAGGACTGAATGCATGAACTGCACAGGGGAGAGCCCTGGTCTGATCTCTGACACCGTATGGTATCCCAAGCACCAAGGGGAGGAACCCTTAGCATAGAGTCAAGAGTTGGCCCAAAGCACCACTGGTTGTGGCCTCAAAGCCAACCCTCCACTGCATCCTAATATCACTGATAAATAGAGATACAAGGGCTATCAATAAAATCATAGTAAATAAGATTCATTGATATGTAAAAGAATCATATCATAACCAAGTGCTATTTATTCCATATTTGCAAAGATGATTCAACATATGTAAATGAATCAATGTGACATAACACATCAATAAAAAGAAAGATGGAAATAATATTAATATATCAATGGATACATATATATATCAAATATTTTCAACAAATTGGAGGTAGAAGGAAAACACCTCGATACAGCAAAGGCCATATACTATAAACCAGCACTGACATGCTTAATGGTGAAAATGGAAAGGTTTTACTCTATAGTCAGGCAAAAACAAGGTTGTCTATCTTTACACAATTATTCAACATTGTATTAGAAGTTCTCATCATAGTAATTAGGCAAGAAAAAGAAATAAAAGGGATAATTCTTTAAAAGAGTAAAATTACTATGATTTTCAGGTGACATAATAATGTACACATACATAATAATGTAGAAAATCCTAATAATTCTACTAAAGATCTATTAAAATAATACACCAATACAATAAAGACACAGGTTAAAAGATCAACAAAGATTCTGTTGTATTTCTACACCAGCAGCAAATCAGAAGAGAAGGAAAATATAGCTTATTTATATGCTCATCAGAAATAAAGTTCATTGCCTACGAATAAATTTGACAAAGAAAGAAAAAAGACTTTTACATTAAAAACTACATCACAGTTAAAGGAAATAGAAAAAGAGTCAAGGTGATGGGAAGGTATTCCATACTCATTGATTGCTAGAATTTAACATTGCTAAAATGGCCAAACTGCCCAAAGAATTATAAAGATTCAGTCAAATCTTTATCAAAATTCCGATGTCATTCTTTGAGGAAATGTATAAACATTACTGAAATTCCTATGGAATCACAAAGATCCCAAGTAGTAAAAAACAATACT